TCAGGGTGGGATGTGGCTCTAGAGGTTTGGAAAGGCCCCCCCTTCCTACTTTCAACACCTCCAGGGGCAGAAACCTAGGGCAGGGCCCACCAAGTGCCGGCTTAGTGGGGTCTCGCAGGCAAGACGGGTCAGGCCGATGGATGGAGTCGGCTCTCCTTACCGTGTGTTCAGGGCAAGTGTTGGTCCCAGCCACAAGAGTGAGCACATGGCTGCCCCCCTCAATGGCAGGAGGGCACAGGACAAGGACTTGGGGTGCCCCCACCCCAGAGCAAATGGTTTTACTTTTCTCAGCCCAGAATGTCCACAGGTTCAATCCAACAAAGATTTATGAAGTGGACTTGGGGAAAAAGTAAGGGTTATGACTAAAGAGCAACAATTGGGTAAATTAAGGTTCGAAAGAACCTATAATTCACCAAAAACCTCCCTTTTCCACCCATTTTGGCCCCTGGCTGTTTCCCTTCTGACCACAAGGGAGGCGGTGCAGTTGGGAAGTCAACACCAGATTTAACAAATTACTTCACATTCTAAAGCAACGCAAAGCAGCCCTCGGGGTTGTCCCGGGAAACAGCGGGTTACTGAGATCAAATACCACGTGTGACGCGAGAACCACAATTAAAAGCCATGTCGAAGCTATTCAGAGCAGAACCTTGGGAATGTGGGCTCCACTTAAAGGCTTCTCGCCCTCACTGGCTCCTCACCTTCCTGCCCCTTTTGAACCTTCCCCAAAGCCTTTGCCCAAACAGGCAGCAGCATCTTGGAAAAACAACAGGTAAGACGTGCACAGCTTGTGTGCCTGGTCAGTCACTAGTAGGTTGGTAGGTGTGAGCATGAGTGTGCGTGCGTGTGCATGTGTGTTACAGTGATGACCAGGGAAGACGATGGCCCTGTGTCAGAGAAGGCCTGTGATTTGTAGAAACAAAGGTGTTAATCACAGCACAAGAGCTCAGAGGCTGTAGGTCCATCAGCCTCGGATTACACATGATAAAGGAGGACTTGATAAAAGAGTGAGTTTACCAAAGTGACAGCTCATTAATTTAGCCCTTACAGGCAACAACAAAATCTAATTTTTCCAGATAACTTGAGTTACCTCTGTAATTGCTCAAACTTACAAATTAGCATTTATCAGAAACATTTTTATCCTTTGTTTTAATTTTTTTTAAGATTTTATTTATGCACACAAGAACTGGGGTGCAGGCCAGAGAGGCAGGGGTGAGAAGATTCACCAGAGACAGAGTGGGGAACAGAACAGGAGGATCTACTGAAATAACTGCTATGAGGAGCAGCAGGAGAGACAGGAGAGGTCTGCTGCGCCCTGTGAGTCAGCTCCCTGGCCAGATCGAACTCAGTGGCTGGTGATAGCTTGGTAGGGCTGAGACTTAACCCCTGCACCACCAGAGAGGCCCAATATTTTTATCCTTAACCAAAGTGCTCCAAACACAACTTCATTTTCCTTTGGTGATTCAGGGCCTGCCCGGTGGAAGCTTGGTCACTCCGTGGGTTGTGATCTGGACGGCCCCAGCAGTTCATCCCCAACTGAAAACAGCTCAGGTCACTGCGTCTTCTGGCCTCGAGTCTACAGTAAGGCTGGAGCGAGCAAGGAACCAAGGCCCATGGGATCAATTACAGCAAAAAGGCGAAGGTGAACATCATCATAAGCAATTGGAATGCTCTGGCTGAGCTGAGACTCCATTCTATGGAGTCGGGTTAGAGTTTGCGGAAAAAAGACAGGGGGCTGGAACCAGGCAAACAGGGACACACACCCATCTCGTAACCCTGAGGAGGTGGAGCCAGGGCTCTGCATGCCATGGGCAGCGATAGGTTTGTGCCATCCAACCTTCTAGCTCTGGGAGATCCCCCTGCAAAGCTTGAGAGCACCCCGCCGCTTAGCGTTTCTGGTTGGCTTTTACCCATCACAGTCCCTGGAGGATTTGAGGGGTTCCTGGTGTAGCACCCCTTGCCCACCAGGCAGCCTCTGCCTTCCACCTGCTCCCCGGAAGACAGCCTCAGCAGGGAGGGCCATTCTCCATGGAAACACCATCCCTGCAACGCTATGGTCCTGCCCGCCTCCAGGAATTGGCCAGCGGACAGAGTCCCCCAACCCCTGGCTCCCCATTAGCAGCCTTGATTAAACTGAGCCCCAGCTGGGGTGGGTGTGGGGGTTAAACATTGGCTCACAGTGGCGTCAACTCAGGGCACTGCAAGCTGTGAGAACAGCAACAACTGCTCCTGACAACAATAAAAAGAGCAAAGCTTACAATCGTTTTGTTTGTAAATTAAGGGGATAATAAATATCACATGGAGACCACCTATTATGCAGTGTGGTTTTGTTTTATTTATTTTTTATTTATGCAAGAACCAGGGTACAGGCCAGATGTGCAGGAGGGTGAGAGGGTTCACCAGAGACAGAGTGGGGAACAGAACAGGCAGACTGACGAAATACACTGCTGAGAGGAGCAGCGGGTGAGACAGGAGAGGTCTGCCGCGCCATGTGGGACCCTCGCCAGCTGGCCGGGATCGAACCGGCGCTGCAGAGCTGCGGACAGCCTCACAGTGCTGCGCTCAACTGCCTACGCCACCAGGGGAGGCCCTAATGCAGTGTTTTATAGATTGTCTCATTTGGGTTCTGTATCAACCCAAGGAGGTAACAGTAGTACCCCCAAGTTATAGATGAAGAAACCAAGGCTTAGCGGTCCCGTGGCTGTATCTGGGGGCGGCTGCTTTCCCCACTCTGCAGCCTGCTTCCCCGTGAGCTGAGCCATTCCACTGCCAAATCTGTCCCATCCCTGGCATCTGGCTCAGGAGAGGAAGAGGCAGTGCCAGCCTGCCCACTGAGCCTGGACTGTGCCCGCCCCCGTGAGCGCCACAGACCAGCAACGATATTTAAATGTCTGGTTTCGTGATCGGCTTACAAAACGCTTCCGTGATCACGACATAAGTCAGCTGAGTTGTTTGCTTTGCTCCTCCCATATGCGGCGTGGACAGCAGTGCCCATTCCCTCTAGACGCTGTAGCAGGTCCATGGGGACAGGGCAGTCGGGAGCCGCTTTTGGCTGCTGGACAGCGGTGGGGTGAGCGAGCTGGGCTGTGGCCTAGGGGTCTCCCACCCTTCTGCTCTGCCATCCTCAGGATGCAACTGGTCGCCAAGGTCATTGCCAGAGGGAGAAGGGAAGGAGCAGACAAAAAGGACATACACTCCTTCTTCAGTAGTTGGTGTTTGTCAGGGTCTAGTGCAAAAAACAAAGCACCCAGAAACTTCCTAGGTATACCAAACAAGAGGGGCATAACACAGGCGGGTAGAAGGTGGGAGGAGAAAGAGCAAATGTGGATGCTCAGGGGACCCTAATATCCTAACTGCAAGCAGCAGAGGCCACTGCCACATGGGGACAAAAGAGACAGTGTGGCTGCAACTAGGAGCTCAGAAGAGGCTGTGCTGTTCCCCTGTGGCAGCAGCGGGGCCCCACAGCTAAGGCCATGCTGTCCTCCCGCAATGGGGGTTCTCCGTGGCATCTCCTAGGACAGCCAACACCAAATGATGGCAGCCGGGAGCAGGGCCCGCTGAGGGCTCAGCACACCAGGCATGAAGATGCTCCCTTGGCAGCGAGCTAAACAGCCACCCAACTGGTTGCCTGCCATGTCTTTGGCTATTTTAGGTCAGTGAAAAAGGGAGTGCAGGGGGCTGGAGGTTCCTCCGTGAACCCCACAGAGACCCTCATTCTTGCAGTCAGAGCCCTGACTCGGTGATAGCATGATATCTGGGACCCATGCAGGGATCAGATGTTTGCAGCCACCCTGCCTGGGACCGGTCACAAAGTATGTGTGAGTCTGAGCTCCAAATGTTTCACTGAGCGCCTCGGTGAACTGAGTGCTAGTTGACTGCTGAAGGACAGCTACGGGAACAGGGTGGATGTAGGTAAGGGAGTCTTTCTCAAGCCAAGGGTCATGCCCACCCTCCTTCTATAGACCATCTCTTACAGATAGATAGCACTCAAAACTGGGCAAATAATTGGAGGGTCCTTGGCTCTACAGGGTATGACTGGGGCTCTAGGACAGGTTCTGACACATGGGACTGCAGACACGTGGTCCTATCCCCAGTTCTCAGGGGATCATCTCAGTCCAGGACGGCACCCCTACCAGGCCAAACGCCCTCTTACTCTGTATTTCCATATTTAGTCCAGCTCACATAAATGACGTTATCTTGCTGAGGACGACTGGAGGCCACAGTGGCCACTTTCAGGACTTTTGACATAGACAGGACTGTTATTTTCACAGACGTTAGGAAACAATCCTGAATAGCCAGTGGTTTACATTCTTCACCCAACAGAAAGAGACCTCTAAACTCAATCCAAATTCTGAAAGCGTCGACCCAAAAGATTTCCCAGATCAGATCAGAAAGGGGAAAAGTTCAGTGAGGAGTTCAAGCTCGTGCCCGGCATACACACCGCTTCTTCCCTCCAGTCTTCTGTGCTCAGACCAGGAGACACAAAGTCTGAGACGAGAGGAGCTAACTGGCATGACCTTAAGAAGGACACAGGGCTAATCAACCCATACCTGGTCACACTTAAATGGTTTACTTGCGTTTACAAAATGTGTTCATAAACGATCTCACTTACTCTTCACAGCAATCCAAGAAGCTGGTATTATTCTAAGACACACGAAGGCCTCCATTTCTGAGCCGAGCTAACAGGTTCAGAAGGCGAGATAAATTAGCTGGCCATGTGGTAGAGTTGGGACCTACTTTTACCGTAATTTGCCTTTCCGCACAGTGCTTCCCCACGCCGCACAGCTGTTATGAGCAGCAACTAAACCAAAAAAGCGTTACACTCCCTTGGCTCAGCCCCTTCCCTTCGCCAACTGCACAACCAAGGCCGACGGAGGCCAGGGCCGGAAGGAGGAAGTGCGCAGGCGGGTGAGGTCACACATTTCCGCCCGCCGGGTCTGCGCTTGCGCGCGAGAGGACTAACCGCTCGGGGAAGCCGCCTGGAACTCTGGGCTGGCGCAGACGCAGAGCAACCTCCAGGCGGAACTGGGGCGTCGCCGACTCCGGGGACCGACACACCCGGTGTGAAAAGGTGGTGGCACGCGGAGCGGTGCGCATGCGCGGGCAGTCCTCGGGGTGAAGGGTTGAGAGCCGGACCGGGCGGCCAGCTGGGCTGGAGCGGAGCAGCGTCAGGATGGACGAGGACGTGCTGCCCGCCCTGAAGGTCCTCATCGTCGGCGAGAGCCGCGTCGGCAAGTCCAGGTGAGGCGGCCCCGCGGTCGTGACGGGGGCGGCGGACGGGGCCGCTGTGACAGCGTCTCCCCGGGAACCGTCAACGGCGCGCCCCGAGTGGCCGCGCGGGGTCCCCGCTTGTGCGCCGCGGGCCCCTCCGCCTCGCGGCCCGGCGGCCCCGGCTCCCGCGGCCTCGCTGCCCGCCCGCCCCGCAGCCCCCGCCGGCCCGCGCCGGCCCCAGTGGCGGGTCTTGCTCCCCCGTCGTGGCGAGAGCGCCCCGCGGCTGCCGCCCGCCGCGCGAGGCCTGGGCGCCGGGGCCGCGCTGGTCCCGAGGCTCGCCTGGGCGAGGCCGCGGCCCCGGGCTCAGGCCGCTCGTGCCCCGGCGAGCTGGAGTCGGGACTTTATCACTTCGGGATTCAGGTTGGACTTTCTCTAACGACGTGACGCGCAGGGAAGCCTCGTGACGCCGCAGGTCGCCGTCCTGGCCGCGCTGCAGCGCCCGCCCCGGCTGCTGCTGTCGTGTTTCCTGAGTCAGCCCTGAAAGATCTCTTTGGTCTTCCAGCTGCTTGAGTCACTCCCTGTGCTCTGAGATAGTTTTGCTGAAGCTGTGAGCCACCTTTTTTTTTTTTTAATTTTATTTTTATATTCCCCATACAATTGCAACCCCCTTATTTTGACCCCAAACCCTCCTTTCCCCGCCGCCCCGTAGTGTGTCTCTGGTTCATAGTTGTTTGTTGATTTTGATTTTTTCCTTTCTTATAGTTATCCTTTTTCCTTGGTCCCTTATTTAGGTTTTCTAGATTCCTGCTATGAGTGAGACCATCCGGTATTTTTCTTTTTCTTTCTGGCATATTTCGCTGAGCATGATCCCTTCCAGCTCCATCCATGTTGCTGCAAATTTTATATGTTTATCTTTTTTGATTTCTGAGTAATATTCCATGGTGTCTATGTACCACATCTTCTTGATCCAGTCATCTATTTTTGGGCATTTGGATTGTTTCCATAGCTATTGTAAACAGTGCTGCTATAAACATAGGGGTGCAGGTGCTCTTTGGAATTGATGTTTCTGTGTCCTTTGGGTAAATACCTAGGAGTGGAATTGCTGGATCATATGGAAAAGCCACCTTTAAAAATAATGGTTCCATTCTGCCGCAGCGTAGGAAGATAACAAAGAGTGTTCTTTTTTCTTTCTTGGGACGAGGAGAGTGATATTGACAATACTTGGACTTGAGTGTATGGTGGAGACATGGAGCTCGTGGTGTAGGAAGAGCGTTATGATTTCATCCAGGTCTGTGGAGCAGTTCCCCGGGTGAATTTATCCTCACCATATTTCATGTTTTCGCTCCTGATACACTTGTATTTCAGGTCACTTTCTAAACCGCTTCCTACTTAAGGATTTTTAGAGACTTAAGGATTTGTTATCTTATTCTCTAATATGTTCTGAAGTTTTATATATTTTTTAAGTATGGTACTATATTTTCATATTTTTTCTCATTTAATGTACTCTGCACCGTAGTGAAGGATTTGTATTCAACAAGGATTACAGTCATGGAACGCTGGGTTAGGGAAAGTATAGGGTGTGGGGGGCAGAGGAGGGTGGGAGGGAGAGAGAAAGGGCTACATAGAGCTATCACCATTCGTTTTGACGTTTAAAAGGTATATACTGGCATATATATACTCCATAGCCTTGTGACCTTTGTTTGTTTCTTGAGATGTGACTCTCATTTAAGTTAAGGCATATCATATTGCTAATTCTGAAGTCAAGATGAAAATCATGTCACCCAATAAATGGCAGGGCACTTTTTCTAAATGCCTGGGAAGGCTCTGCTAGAGGTTTTTTGAAGATTAACTGGGTGTACAGTGTTGATTTAATTGAGGTTCTTCCACCACACCACAGTCTTTTAAGTGATTTCTTGTTCTTCGTTTCCCTCCTTCAAAGGTATGTGGATCTAATCTGTTCCAAACTTTTCCTCCATACTTAATGGTGAGTTATCAGATGCTCACTGCAGTAGTTGAACACCTTGAATACCTCTTTCAAGAAAGGATGGCATTTGTGAAAAAGTTGTCTTATTTTCTAGCTAGATAAACATTAATTATGATATAAAAAAAAAAAAACCTTGACACTTATCTTTCTGGATAAGATGAGAATAAATAATTCCACTAAAATAGAAATATATGCTTTTTAAAGTGAGTTAGTATAAAAACATAGGTCATGGATATAATCTGAAAGGGTTCTAGCCAATAGTTGGTTTCTGGTTTTTTTGCAGATCTAGAGCTAGTGCCATTGAGAGATGACTTGTGTTGTTGAGAAATCGTTGCACAAGAGTCTTAACTAATTCAAATTGGTGGGTTATTTTTCAAGTTAATTTCAGACTGTTGGAGAATAAACTATGTGTGAGATCAGGATTTTGAAATTAATGCTTCCATTTATGTGACCTTCTGTGAACACTGAAGGCCTTCATTTTTCACTTTGACAAATGAGGGTAGAATAGAAATCTCTCAAATCCTGTCTGATGTTAAATATGGAAGATTCTTTGATTCTGTGGCTAGCCATAGTGAACTGAAGTAGCAAAGTGTTTCAGAAGGGGTTAGAGAAACCTATTATCTAAATTGCTTTCCCTCCAATGCCCTTTCTATCTCCTTTCTTTTTGGCCAATTTCATACCTTATTTAAGAAGTATGGATTTGTTATAATTACAGTCTATTTATTAGAAATTTGATCTTCTCTGAGTGAAATGGTGGTGCTACCTCCATTTGTAGCTCTGCTTTGAGAGTATTTTGCTTTGAAAATACGAAGGCTTAAATATACACCCATTATAAAGTATTTGCTCTTAATCATTTTTAGGGTTTTGAATTCCTTTCAAAAATCCAATAAAGAAATGTACTCTGCTTAGGGAAATGTGTGTAAAGAATTTAGGATACTTTTCAAGCTACCACTGTCCTCTTAGCTGAGATCTGCTGACTTATCCTTAGAACCTATAATCAAATTTCTTGCTCTGCACTGTACCAATTCCCTTCCTTTCCTAAGGACCGTTAATACCATAGGTTGTCTAAGAATTAGCAATTATGTAAGAAAACCCCCTAGTTGTCAATGTCCAATGAATAATTGGACATTGTCTTATGGCATTGTTATTACTGTCACTCTACAAGTTATGTTAACTTATGTTTGTATGACATTTTCTGTGCTGACCAGATACAGATATATACCTTTTTTGTTTTTAAATTAAGGGTAATTGAATTTTTAGTCTATCTTCACCTTTGTTAATTTGAAGTTTAATGTTGGAGAGAGAAGAAAGTTTTTATAAGTAGTCTTTTAAGATTCTTTTTAGTGCTGTCTCATAACTCCTATTGGACCTAAGTAAAAGTAATTAATAGTCAAGAAGGTTCAATGTTAGGTAGGAAATTCTACAATTTGACTCTTGTTTTGCTTTGCTTTTGCTGTGCTGGTTTTATAGTAAACACTATTAAAGCAAAGTCAAGAAGTCGAATTAACAACAGTGGGTTTCGAAACTACTGAGAGGCAATAGGGAATTCTGCAGTATACTCTGTGGGCGGAAGCAATCTCTAGCAGCAGTGATTACAACCTGTAGAAATAGTCATACTTTCTTCTGTAATTCAGATATCTGATAGCGATTGCCTTGATTTTATTAATGCAAATAGGTCAGTAGAATGGTCTTGTCCTACTTTAGGAGATAATATAGGGGTGATTGAATTATTTGATAAATCTTAGACTTTAAGAAAAGCTTAGATATTTTTAAAGAGTTTTGAATAACTGACAGTTCTGCCTAATGTTAAATAATTCTGGGAGACAGAAAATCTTAAGAGTAGTCTTCACTTGGTGTCTGCTGCTTGCATTTCATCCCTTCATTTCTAGTATCTTCACCATTTCCTCGGTTTAGTCCTTTGTAAATGCTCATGCTAACCATGCTTATTGCTTTGTTTTGATTGACATGAACTTTTCAAAATGTAGAGCAGTTCTTGTCATTGCTCTCTTTAAAAGCCTTCAGACTTCCTATTGCCTACTTGATTTTCTATCTCCTACCTAGCATTTGCCAGAGTGTATCTCCTGTGGGCCTCGTGATCTTTATACCTCCACTTTTTACTATATATTTTCTTCTCACTTAGCTAGAAGTTATATTAGTTGTTATAAACACTAGTTGTTATAAGCCACCCTTTTGTCCTTTGCTAAAGCATGACATGTTAATATCATTTTCCTTAGAAGGATATATCATTACAATTAAAGAAACAAAACCCACAAGCCTTTTCATACTTGGGGAATTTTCATACTTGGGGAACATATTTTCTAGTAAACTACTTTGCTCTTGGGGTTCTTCAAATGCCTTTACATAATTTAATTTCTCTGTTTGTACCTGCACCAAGGCAGTATTTCTGGGAGCAGGCCTAAATCAGCTGCTTTATTGGCATCTAATTTGTTACAAAAAATAGCAATGATGAACACTTTTATCAAAGGATTAGAAAGAAAAGTCAAATTCCTAATCTGTCTTTTTAATATCTCTTTTAGCCTGCTCTTGCGGTTCACGGATGATACTTTTGATCCAGAACTTGCCGCAACAATTGGTAAGCCTATGTTGAAAATTCAATAGAAATGCCAAATATTTTCTTACCTTCAGGCTGTTTTGTCTCATGTCCCTCAAAATACTATCCACACTCCTACTTCCCTGTCTCTTACAGTCTTTCTTGTCTTTCACAACTTAGCCCTAGTGTCATAAGGTTTCTGAAGCCTTTCCATATCTTACCAGGCAGTAACGTTGGTATCTGTTGTCTCATGGCACTTTGTTAACACCACTAATATTATGATTATCTGTCCACACAGCACATTTCTTTCCTGTACTGTAGATTATCTTTTATTTAGCAGCATACAATTGTTTGAATATTTGCTGTATGCCAACACTGTCATAAGAGGTGGGGTTATGTGATGGCAGTTATCACCCAACTACATTGTGTTAATTTTGTTTTTTTTACTATTTGCTGCAATGTCTCGTGTGTATTATGAACTCATTTGTCTTTAAAATCTTATTTAAGGGCCTCCCCGGTGGCGGCGTGGCGGGTTGAGTGCAGCGCTGAGAGGCTGTCCACAGCCTTGGCAGCGCCGATTCCATACAGGCCGGCCAGGGAGATCCCCACATGGCGCAGCAGACCTCTCCTGTCTTGCCCGCTGCTTCCCCTCAGCAGTGTTTTCAGTCCTTCTGCCTGTTCTGTTCTGTTCCCCACTCTGTCTCTAGTGAATCCTCACAAAACCTGCGCCTCTGGCTTGTACCCCAGTTCTTGTGTAAATAAATAAATGTTTAAAAATAATCTTATTTAAGATGAATATATATTAATGTTGTGTGTGTGAGAAGTATTAACTGTTGCAGATCTTTTTTTTCCATTTGTTACTTACATTCACATCTTGTTTAGGGGTGGGGGGGTCTACATGTTTGCCACACCAAAGCTTTGGTATTTATATGGTCAAATTAGTTAGTTTCTTCATGGCATCTGGGTGTCATGTCACATTTAGGAAGCCTTTCTCAGTGTTAGAGGAATCTAATTCTGGTCTAAATATCAAGTCATTTATCTCCCACTTGGAAGCTTCATCTAGGAATCAGATATAATATTCACGCATAGCCTTGTCCCACTGCCTCTTGGAAGTGCCGCATATACATCATGACCTACTTGACACCTGTAAGGAACAAGGTTTTGTTCCTTCCCTTTGTCATATCCTTCACTCACTTCCATTTCTAGATCCCTTCCAGCTCTTTTTTACTTCTCTATCATCAAGAACTTCTTTTCTATTTTCCTACCAGAAAATAAAACCACGGAAGGAAAATTAAAAGTTCTGTTTCTTTTATCTTACAAAGATGTCATTATACTCATTGCATATTCTTTTTTTTAAGATTGATTTATGTATGTATGTATTTATTTATTTGTGCATACAAGAACTGGGGTATAGGCCAGAGGTGGGAGGGTGTGAGAGGATTCACCAGAGACAGAGTGGGGAACAGAACAGGAGGATTGACTGAAATCTGCTGCTGAGGGGAGCAGCCCGCAAGTCAAGAGAGGTCTGCTGCGCCATGTGGGTAGCTCCCTGGCCTGGGATCAAACTGTGGATTGCTTCATAGTGCTGCGTCTTGACCTCTTGCGCCACCAGGGAGGCCCCGCATATTCCTATGTCGAAAACAAACACAAGCATAACTAACTTCTGACTGAGCGTATAAATCTGCTAGTTGTTACAAATCCTAATTTAATTAATACTGTGGCACAGGCTGTTTTGCCCAAAGTGAATCTAAAAATGTCAAGATTAAACATTTGGCTTAGTTAAATATTTACTTGTAAACTGTCAAAATCATGTGCAGTAATATTTTGCCATTAAAGCAGTTTTTTTCTGTAGTCTTTCTCTGAAAACATTGGGGTTTTATGCATAATTCAACTGGAATTCTGTACTAATGCCTATTTCAACTTTTAAAATGTCTTTCTAGCCCTTAGTCTAGCAATAAAAAATAAAGATCAAACCGTTACTTATTTTAAAAATCCGTGTTGATAGGGGAATATTTAAGATTAACTTAGTTATATATGTCATTTTTACTAGTAACTGATCTTTAGTCATCAGTCTATTAATATTTGCTGCAGTTTATAAAGGAATTAGAGAGTTTGTTGCTTAGTAGAATTTGTTTTGTCAGTCCGGAAAATAGTATTCAAGAGTAGATATATCACACAAAATTTGAAAACCAAATGTGGATTCTGTTCTTACTGTAAATTGTTGAAAAGTGCTTGTCTTAATAATTCTTGGGTAGCTGTTTAAAATGAATATTGATCAATTATAGGAGAAAGCTTTTCTTATATCATGACTTAAGTATGAGACTAGTTTCAAAATGTTAAAAGTTTAGAAAGTTTAGAAAACACTATAATAAGAAGCCCTGTATTATAATGCAGTTGATAACAGAGGAAGACAATTAAGACCCATCCACTAACTCTACATATTTTTTAAAAGCTGCAAATTTTGATCCTTGTAAGAAACAAATCAACAGAGTCCTTGTAAGAAATAAATCAATAAATGTTTTAATTAGTATTTGCTCTTTTGCCACAGGTTTGGACCTAAACGCTTCGGTTTTTGGACAAACCTCTTATTGTTACAAATGGGCACAGCTGTTGTTTTGTTTGCTTAAATTAATTTTCCCTGATCTTATAGGATATAATTTTTTCACAGTTTGTTAATAAAATTGAATGTGTGTGTGTGTGTGTAAATGTATGTGTGTGTTATTTTGGAGGTCAGTTTCATCTGTCAGGATCAGTGGGCACTCATTGTTATGTTTTGAAGAGTTTTTCAGTAGACTTGCCTATATGGTGACATTAACCCCTAGTTATGTAAGAGAAATAAAATGTCATTACTTTTTATTTTGAATGATTATTAAGTAAATGACTTTTTTGATTTCAGCTTATGATGTGACAAGAAGGGACACCTTTGTTAAACTGGATAACTGGCTAAGTGAATTGGAAACATATTGCACGAGAAATGACATAGTAAACATGCTAGTTGGAAATAAAATCGATAAGGTAAGAAGTCAGATGCTTGGCATTTGGGCTCTGTGTTTTGGTAGCCTTTCTTAATCTTTGCATTTGTCTTTTAGTAAAATCGTGAAGTTGACAGAAATGAAGGCCTGAAATTTGCATGAAAGCATTCCATGTTATTTATAGGTAAGTGTGTGAATATTTATGCTTTCATTGTTAATAACAATTTTTTTTTTTAAAGATTTATTTATACAAGCACTGGGTACAGTCAGAAGCAGGGGAGGGTGAGAGAATTCATCGGAGCCAGAGCAGAGGGCAGAACAGGCAGACTGACGAAACACACTGCTGAGGGGAGCAGCAGGTGGCAGGAGAGGTCTGTGCGCCATGTGGGACCCTCGCCGGCAGCCGGGGATCGAACTGGTGCTGCAGAGGCTGTGGGCAGCTTCGCAACCCAGTGTTAAACCGCTGCGCCACCGGGGAGCCCATTAATCACAAATTTTTAAATGGAGTTTCTGCTAAATGTTTCTCTTTATGAACCATAAAAATAGGTATTTAGTTTATAGTTGTCTCAAGCTGTAAAATCTGACTATAGAAACAGTTCTTTATTTTTTTCTTCTATGAGAAAAAAAGATCCTATTATGTGACGCCCTGTAGAACACAGTGGACTCCCTCTAGGATATAATGGCGTTCAGTAGGCTCGGCGCCCTGTGGTGAACTTGTACCTTGTTGATCTGGGCGCTGGCAGCATTGTACAACTTAGGAGCTTGTTAGAAATGAATGCTTCCTCTTGGGCCCTAACCCAGGTTTTCTAAGTCAGAATACATTTTTAATAAGATCTTCATGTGATTTGTATGCACATTAATATTTAAGAAGCATGGTGGAGCATGGTTGGCACACCACAGCATGGGTCAGGTTTGACCCACCACTTCCATTAGAACACAGCCATACCCAGTCATCTGCATATTGCTATTGTTGCTTTTGTGCTTCATAACACAGTTCAGGTGTGTTCATTTGTTATAACAGAAACCACTGGCTTTCAAAGCCTAAGCTGCCTAACCTTTTACCAACATTTTGCTATCCCATCATTTAGAAAAATGGACTGGCTATATCAAAATTCACCTGGGGAGCGCTTTAAAATTATACATCCCTGGGCCTTTCAGGGACTAGAAGGCAGTTTATAAAAAACTACTGTGGTCAAATCTGACAATTTCAACATTAGAAATTACTGATTTAGCTATTTCAGTGTTAGAACTAATTAAGAATCAGGAAATGGAAATAAGAGAACATCATGCATATATAAGTAAAGGTTGTATAAGTGGAAGGTATGAGGAATTTCAGAAAGGAGTTGAAAACTACCTAATAACAGTAGCAGTAAGCTTACTTGCTGAATGTCCTTTATGTCTACACATAAAGGTTCGATCCTGGCCGTCCGGTGAGGGTCCCACATGGCACAGCAGACCTCTCCTGTCGCGCCCTCTGCTCCCCTCAGCAGTGTATTTCAGTCAGTCTGACTGTTCTGTTCCCCACTCTGTCTCTGGTGAGTCCTCTCACCCTTCCACACATCTAGCCTGTACCCCGGTTCTTGTATGAATAAATAAATATTTTTTTTTTTTTTTTTTTTGTGGGACCCTTGCCGGTGGCCGGGGAACGAACCGGCGCTGCAGAGGCTGCGGGCAGCCTCACAAAATAAATAAATCTTTAAAAAAAGAAAAAGAAAAACTTGAGTCAGCAACAAAAGGTCAAACAACCCAATTATAAGAAGGACAAAGGACTTGGATAGACGTTTCTCCAAAGAGGATATACAAGAGGCTGATAAACAATTGAAAAGACAATCAACATGATCAGATATTTACAGAAATGTGAATCATAACCACAATGAGATACCACCTGACACCAACTAAGACAGGTATAATCAATAAAAGGAAAAAGAATGAGTGTTGGTTTATAGGGAGACTGTGGAAAAACTGGAGCCCCTATCTGCTGCTGGTGGGATCGAAAGTGGTGTAGACTCTGGAAAACAATGTGATGGTTCTTCAAATAGCTGGCTATGGATTTCTCATGCAACCCACCAATTCCACTTATAAATGATTCTCTTAACATGAGCACACCGTGTTCCTTGCAGTGTTACGATTGTCAAGAGAAGGAAATATTCCAAGTGCCCACAAAAGACCGTAGATAGCCAAATTGTGGAGCACACATACAACGGAACACAGAGCCTTCAAGTGGAATGAAGTTGTCAACTGCACGGGACAAACCCTGGAAGCATTATGATAAGTGAAATAAGTCTGTCACAAAAAAAATGTATAATTCCACTTACATGAAAATCTAAGAAAGGCAAATTCATAGAAGAATAGATTCAGAGTTAACTAGGACTGGAAGAGAGAAGGGCAACAAGGAGCTACTGCTCACTGGTCACGGTGGGGGTTAGAAGATATTTAGAAAAAGTTAGGACAGTACACAGCTGTGGGGATGTGATGGATGCCACTGAACTGTACACCTAAAATGGTTAGAGTGGCACGTTTTACGTTAGATATCTTACAACAAATATTTTTAAGTTTAAAAACTTAAAAAAGTTTTTTTACCTGTAGCATGATACAATCGCAAATAATGTGAGCAGAAGATATGCCGTGTAAAACAAAGGGACCACTGTCCTAGCAGTCGCCTCAAATTCCAGTTTCCTAGAAAGTAATGTGAAGCAGACCACCTGTCGTAAAAATACACTCAGGTAAATAACTTTTAATTCCAATATCTGTGTAGGAGTGACAAGCTCTATCACAATATTATAGCTTATTGATTGAAACATGTTACAACTCGGGAAAAGATTAAATTATGTGAATTATGATTTTAGAATGAAGGTAATAAAAAATGTTCCCCACAAATCCATGGCATGCTTTCTAAGATTTCTTTCAAAAATCCAATGTTTAACATTCCTGAGTATACAAATTCTGAATTTTCTCTAATACTGTGTAATCATTAGTAACGTCAAACTTTTGACTTTCTCTAAATGACGAGTAGGTTGCTATCTTTTGCTATTTAAATACAAAGTATAATTTCAGCAAGGCCTGGTAGCCAAAGGCTTTTCCCAGCGGGGGTCTCTCACCAGGCCTTGCCAAAAGTGTTAGCTGGTTTGCTCAACATCTAAGGTCCTGGCAGGGTGCTAGAAAATACTTGAGAAATCTGAGCTAGTTGTGTTTTTCAAAAACACCAGGGAACTTCAGCTTACAGGTTTGTTTTTTATTCCAGTGACACCAAGCAAATTTTCGGGGCTCCAGAAACAGCGCAGACGTGGAGTGAGAGCATTCTAACTAGAAAATCTAACTTCAAAAGTCACCCTGAAGATCAATGTCTGCCCTGAACACGCCCACCCCTGCGGTGTAGAATGAGTGTTTCCCACTAGAATGCCACCCAGTATCTAGGCTGGCGGCTTCCCTTGGTGTCCCTTGAAGAAAGCTGGCTGAAGCATCCAAGAGAGTGGAGCAGACCCGGTTTCAAGTCAAGGCCTCCTCCAAATAGCCAGGCATGCCCACGTCCTTGGACAGGTCTTATCCCTCCCACCTTCTCCTCCCTCTAGACCCAGCCCCGGGCACCTGGATGTCCTTCAAGGCCAGGTGCTTTTCAATGGCGTGAATTTGGTCCAGGAACTCGAGCAGCCACTTCTGGTTGCGCTCGCTGTCCTCGGGGTCCGTGGTCTTCCGGTAGTACTGCAGCCGCATGGCCTTGGCTTGCAGGTGTAACCGGCTTCTCCCCGCCCTGGGACCCAGGACAGTTCCTCCCAAGAAGCCGGCCAAGTAGAGGGGCACAGCAGAGGTGTTGTAAATAGGGAAGGTGATGCTTTTCAGGTCCATGTTGTTATTCTTGTGCCAGATGAACAGGAGTGGGTTGGAGGGCATGCAGGTGCCCTGGTACCTGTCACACACCTGAGGGGAGAGGACCTGGGTTCCATCTCCTGGGGCACGGTCAGCGTCTGCACCACCTCATCCAGTTGACTAATTTCTGAGAAGATGACTGGATCCAGCAGATTGGCAGTGTTGGAGACCACCCGGACGGAGGCGAAGTTGACCTCGGCACTGGACCGCAACAGGGAGAAGAGGTGAGACTCGTTGGTGGAGAAATGTGCCTGCACGAAGTGCCACTTGGCCTTGGCTGGGCTGCCCAAGGCTCTCTTCCGTCTCTCCTCCAGGCTCTCTTCCGTCTCTCTGGGCCGGTAAATCCACCCGGTGCCCAGGACAGCCGTCAGCACCGGGGCACCAGCAGGAAGAGCCAGGGTTGCAAGCCCACAGCCAGCCCCATCCTCTGGAAGCCCCGGGCGAGGGGCTGCTCCAGGCAGTTGGTGTGGCAGCGGGGCCTCCCAGGGGGTGGCTGCTGCCCCTGGGCTTCCGGGACCAGTGAATCCCCTCAGATGGCTGGCGGGGTGGGTCTGAGGAAGGCCCCGAAGCCAGGCTAATGTCGGGCTCCCTCACTGGACCCCAGGACCTTGCTCTGGCTGCCCCGCGGAGGCGGGGAGCTGCTGGGGCGCAGATGCCGCCCCAGGGTCTGCTCTGCTCTCAGACTCTGGCTCAGGCCAGTCCTCCTGCTCTGGCCTCTGAAGCCTCCCCTTGCTTGAACCCTCCCTTGGGGTGCAAACTTGAAGGGATGGACACCCATTTCCGGAAGGACCAACCGGTTGTTCAACAGGAGAACGAGAAAGCAGTGACTGGATGGGGCGCCCAGTCCCCTCCCCCTGGCAGCTTCCGCAAGGAATCCACAGGGAGGCTGTGCTGATGGTCTCCTGCTCCTGCCACCTTTGACCTTCGCTGCACATGCCATGTCGGGATGGGGAGGGTGGAGGGGGGCGTGCTTTGCTAGAGAGCTGGGTCTTGACAGCTGGCCTAGTAGAGGGGAAATGGTTTCCAGGTGGGTCTGAGCTCCTGCCCTTAGGATTCCCCTGCCTGAGGAGCCTGCATTTGCTACACTGTTATCAGTTGTGCCTTCTGTGGCCCTGGCAGGAGTATTGATATATTCGCGGAGAGAAGGGGAGGACTCCAGAGAAGCCCAGAGTGAAGACCTGCGGGGGGGGGGGGGGGGGGGAGGGCTGCTTTTCATTTCATTTATTTATTTTTTTATATTTATTTTTATACAAGAACTGGGATATAAGCCAGAGGCATTGGGGGGGGGGGGTGAGAGGATTCGCCAGAGACAGAGTGGGGAACAGAACAGGCAGACTGACTGAAACACACAGCTGAGAAGAGCAGCGGGCGGCACGAGAGGTCTGCGCACCATGTGGGTCACCTCCCTGGCCAGGGATTGAACTCATGCTGCAGTGGCTGGTGATAGCTTGATAGAGCTGAGACTAACCCCTGCACCACCAGGAAGGCTCCCAATATGGGAACTTTAAGTGAAGGGGGAAAGAGACGTAAGAATGACCCAATAAGAAGTTGAGAACTGAAAAATAAGAAAAATAAAATTTTAAGACTTACTAAATGGACTGAAATAAGATGACAATACTAGCAAGAATGAAAAAACCTGAAGATAGGTCAACAAAAATCATCCAATCTGAACACAATATTTTAAAAATGAATAGTCTTAAAAACATGTCAGGCAATAGGAAAAAAATCTAACATTCATGGCAATAGAGCTAGCAGGCAGGAAGAAACAGTATGGTATTGAGAAAACAAATTTTAAAAAAATTTTCATCAAAACATATTTAAAGAAATGACTCTAAACTTCCCAATTCTGGCACGAGATATAATCTAAAAATGCAAGAAATTAGGAAAAATCCCAAATAGGATAAACGCCCAAAAATCCATGCCTAGATATATCATAACCAAACTTCTGAAAACTAAAGCCCCAAACTTTAACCTTAAGTAATAGGAAGTGGGCCTCCCCGGTGGCGCAGGCGGTTGAGTGCTGCACTGTGAAGCTGTCTGCAGCCTCTGCAGCGTGGGTTCGATCCTGGCTGGCCAGCAGAATCGTGCATGGCGCAGCAGACCTCTTCTGCCGCGCCCGCTGCTCCCCTCAACAGTGTATTTCATCAGTCTGCCTGCTCTGTTCCCAGCTCTGTCTCCAGTGAATCCTCTCACCCTCCCGCACATCTGGCCTTTACCCCGGTTCTTGTATAAATAAATCTTTAAAGAAAAAAAGAAAGAATAGGAAGTGTGTGTGTGTAGGGGTGGCAATGTGAAGAATATTGTTTGTATCCTGTGAGCATTTTCGAGGTTAAAATCAGATTGGCTATGCTTATTTCTTTTCTCAGCATGAACTCAAACTAGATGCCACACTTACTTTGCTGTGAAATGAGTTCTTTGATCAGAAGCAGTCTTGTAAGAAGCAATGAGTGCTAGAGAAAGCAAATCCACATCCAAAATGTGTCTATTCCAGTGAAGATAAATTAGGTGCGCGATTTGGTATTTATTCACTGAAGATTTAAGAGTTCGGTAACACAGAAATTTGCGGGGACTTTTCTTCTGATTTTTGGGTTATATTATCTTGAAAATGAGCTTTGTTTTACCCCTTTCCTGTCTTGTATGGTCATCATTCCCCCAGCTACAGTATGTACATACAATTGCTGTGCACTTTCTTTAAAAGCGCTTTCTTGAGGGCTTCCCCTTGTGGCGCAGCGGTTGAGCACTGGGCTGCGAAGCTGCCTGCAGCCTCTGTAGCACCGTTTCCATCCCAGGCTGCCAGCGAGGGTCCCACATGGCGTGCAGACCTCTCCTACCACGCCCGCTGCTCCCCTCAGCAGTGTACTTCATCAGTCTGCCTCCTCTGGTGAATTCTCTCACCCTCCTGCACTTCTGACTGTACTCTTGTATAAATAAATAAATCTTAAAAAAAAAAAAAAGAGCTTTCTTGATATATAATATTCATACCGTAAAGTCTACCAGCTTCAAGTTCATCCGCAGAAAGTTCACCAGCCAGGTAGGATGTCTCAAAGTTTCCTTCTTTTGCATAAGTGTTTTTATAGAAGATAATTTCAATATTTCAAATCTAAGAATTTACACCAAGTTTGCCTAGACCATAAAATTAACCTACATATCCCCTAACATCCTGGTGACGCTTCAAAGGTGATTTTCATCAGATGTGGTGTGCAAAGAAGGAAAGCTTAAGTGCAAGAGTAAAGGAATCTACCTTCATTTTTAAATGCTCCTGATGTTGTATTTGAAGAGATGTAGATAGCTTTTTCCACTCATTGCTTTTGGAATGAATTTAAATCATTTGCAAATTCCTTAGCTGCTGATGTGCCAAGAATAAATGCAATTCTGGCAGATGGCAGAAGGTATAAAAAATATATAAAGTGTAGGGAAACAAACTTGTGTGCTGAGAAGACATTTACATTTTTCAATCAGAAAAAAAAAATCTTTTTATAAGCACCATAAAGCAGAGTTGTTCCTCAGCAATTTGCAGAAATTAGATTAACATGGTGCTCTGGCCAATATAAACTTGAAGCCATTTCTGCACATTACCTCCCTGCATCCACAACTGCCAGTGCCCAGAAATCCACTCAAGTGCCACAATACTTTGAAGATACCTGGCATCAACTCAATATGCATATGAAAGCCACTGTGTGCTAGGGACAATAGAGCAGATAGATGTAACATGGCACTGTCCAAGAGAAATTTCTGGGGCAGGTGGAGGAGCACTGGAAAAGCAAGAGATTTTTTTTTTTTTTTTTTAAAGATTTATTTATTTATTTATACAAGCACTGGGTACAGTCAGAAGCGCGGGAGGGTGAGAGAATTCAACAGAGCCAGAGTGGGGAGCAGAGCAGGCAGACTGACGAAGTACACTGCTGAGGGGAGCAGCGGGCGGCAGGAGAGGCCTGCCCGCCATGTGGGACCCTCACCGGTGGCCGGGGATCAAACCGGTGCTGCAGAGGCTGCGGGCAGCTTGGCAGCCCAGCGCTCAACCGCTGTGCCATCAGGGAGACCCCAAAGCAAGAGATTCTTAAGACAAATTAACGACATATTGTATGCTGCAGGGATAAATTTAGAATTCCCAGCCAACCATCTAACAGTGGTTGGTGATGATACGGTTCCCCACCTATGAAGAGGTTCCCTATCTAAGAGCCCCTTGTCAGAGCTCATAGAACACAGGAATGGAGTCCAAAGTTCAGACCTAAACACATTTTGCTGACAGCAGAGGCCAATGTAATTTTCTAGAGATCACACCTACCCTCTATGATACCCCTTCAAAGTCATGGATGAGGTCACCAATCTGGTTTGTTTAAACTATATTAAGAAATCCCTTCAGTTCCCTTTTAGTTATGTCTCAATGACCATGTGATGTGCTCCATCAAGGAACCTCCATTACCTTCACTGATAGAAGCATCCCTGATTTGCTTCTGTCCTTGAAGTTTCAAAGACTAGCCCCCTATAGAAAGGTTTTTAGGATTTGGGAACGAGTTCATTGCTTATTTCCTTTCATGGATTCAAACCCTTTTAGCTTTCTTCTTTCAAACCCTGGAGTTTCATTAAACTCAGGCCCCAAAGTCAAGAAAATGGCCACCTGTGAAGTAAGCTGTTACTTATTTTCCCCCACCAGCACTACACACTGCCAGTAACTCACGTTATTTCCATGGCTGCTCCGAGTATGGTGGTAGCTCAACAGAGAAATGCTGGGAGAGTCTCTTGTACACAGACATAAATGCAGAGATCCAGGAGAAATTTTTTTTTTTTTTATTTAAAAGATTTATTTATACAAGCACTGGGTACAGTCAGAAGCGCGGAAGGATGAGAGAATTCACCAGAGCCAGAGCGGGGAGCAGAACAGGCAGACTGACGAAATACACTGCTGAGGGGAGCAGTGGGTGGCAGGAGAGGTCTGCGCGCCATGTGGGACCCTCGCCCAGCCGGGGATCAAACCGGCGCTGCAGAGGCCATGGGCAGCTTTGCAACCCAGCGCTCAACCGTGCGCCACCAGGGAGGCCCTAGGAGAAATCTTTATTAGTAAAGGGGCTGCTGCTTTGCAGGAACAGGTTTTCTTTCAAATACCTGCTCAGTCAAGAGCCTTGTGTACCCATGATGGTTAAGAAAGTGTGGTTTGCATGCAAAGTGGACCACTCCCATCCAGAAGTGCCGCCCATGCTCCCCGTCCTAGGAATAAGCAAGTTAAAAAGTTTCTGGAAATCAAATAGAAGCAAATGTAATGGAGACACACCACCTAGTGACCAGAGTTGGGACTGTTACTCAACTTCACCCACACACAGCTAAGTAGGCTCTGAAGTTCAAAAGCCCATTTTTAAATGGCACCTGATCACAAAAAAGTAATTCCAGTCTCCTTTCAGGTAGGCTGCAATTAATAATCTGGTGGAGGGCCTCCCCGGTGGCGAAGCAGTTGAGCACTGGGTTGCGAAGCTGCCCGCAGCCTCTGCAGCACCAGTTCGATCCCCGGCTGCTCCCCGGCCACCGGAGGAGGGTCCCACATGGCGCGCAGACCCCTCCTGCCGCCCGCTGCTCCCCTCAGCAGTGTACCTCAGTCCTTCTGCCTGCTCTGCTCCCTGCTCTGGCTCTAGTGGATTCTCTCACCCTCCCGCGCTTCTGACTGTACCCAGTGCTTGTATAAATAAATAAATAAATAAATAAATCTTTAAAAAAAAAAAAAATCTCGTGGAAAAAAATATGGTTTAGTTCCATGTGATTTATGGATATATTCCAAAAAATTTTACAGCTCCTATCTCTGACAAGCTAATCTTTTGGATATTAACACATGTTTAAAAAGTAACAGGTGACCATTTTGAAAGGGCAAATGCTAAGAATGTGTAAATGTTTCAAAAGAAACCTTGAGTAAAATTCACTTCTCTCTCCAATAAAGATCTATAAAGACTCAAAAACATTTACCACACTGAAATGCACTTTTAAACACTTTCACTATCAGCCAACCAGCTAATTATGAATGTAGCTCTTAAATGGAGTAATGTCCTGAAAAGGAATCATTTTACCTGTTAATATCACTTGCTAGGATCACTCAAGATTATATTTTAATATAGAAAACACATCTGCAAAGTTTCTTAAAGTATCTTGTAACTTTATTGATTTTCAGTATTTTTACAACCTTTTTATGTCACTAACACAGTTCGACCACAGTGACTAGACACAAAAGTTGTGCAGTTCACGTCAGTCACACAAGCCCAGACTACATACCTATTACAGTGCAGAACTCACAGGTCACTGAAGTTTAGGTAGGTAACTTCATTGCGCTAAAGAATAAAAACAAGTCCCACTTTCTGCGACCAGAGCTGACAAGCTTTTCGAGACAGATGACATTCAGGCCAGAGACACGAGTGATACACTTTAACTTAAACAATATAAAACTAAAGTCATAGGAATTAAATAGATTTTCAATCACTGTAGTTTGTTCTTCTAGTTAAATTTTTCACAGAAAAAAATATATTTCAGGCAAATAAAAACAAATTTGAGACAAGCATGGTTCAGTGTTTGTTTTACCTTCATCAAGGCAGGCGAAGTACAGATGCTGTACATTAAAAACATATAAATAACCCCCTCACGGCACATTTATTCTGAAAGGCAAAAGGACGTGTTGTGAGCACTGCTCCTCTCTGAAGCACCTAAATGTACAGAGAGCCATCCGCTGGTCCAACATAGCCCACTCCAATTAGCAAGACATCGATCAGGGTCCAGATTCCCAGGCCACCGAAACTGAAGAGCTTGCCGAGGCCTTCTCGCCACTGGCCCAGGTAGAAGCGGTCGGCTCCAAAGCCCCCGAGGGTGATGCTGCAATGGCAAACAGGCCAGATCCATCAGACAGCCGCCCCCCACCCCCTCCAGGTGTGGCTCAAGAACTGTGCTAACTCGTAGTTGTGAAAGGGCCTCTTACTCTTACACTAGTGACTATTTCACAGATGCAGACACCACATCACCAGGGGCAAGAGGCGTTACATGTCAAAAGAAAGACTGCAATTTTAATTCTACTGAAATCCGATGCTTCTCTTCTAAAGTAATCAATCTCAACACTTCTTCATCTTGAAAAGAGCTCATTCAGAGAAAAAAGCAGCAACCCCGTCTACCAGAAAGTGTGACAAGTCAGCAGTCAGCCTCATGAGGCAGCCCAATGCCATCAGGCCGGCGGACTGACAGTGACTCAGCTTTAAAAATGTAGGGATAGGCAGAAATGACTTTTAGGGCCCTTCAAATTCTAAGATCTAACAGTAATGGACACTTTCCTTTTTACTATTTTCTTTTTGTCTTGTAAAATTTTTATCATGGAAAATTCCAAGCATATCAGAGTAAAGAGAACAGGTGCTCTAACAATCATCGACCCTGGCCAGCCCCATTTCATGTAAACCCTCCCATCCCAGAGGACCCCAAAGCAAGCCCGAGACATCACACTTACAGCGAACAGTCTGAAAGATGTTGAGCTCTGAGAAGCAGACTATTCTTACTTTTTAAAAGCCAAATGTTAAATAAGACGTTAACAATGTTGGGGGAAGTCGGATGAGGGGTGCCAGGAACTCTACTCTGTACGGCTCTTCCTGGAAATCAAAAATTATCCCAAAAGAAAGCTGCTTTTTTAAAAGTCGGTTTTCAGTTTGAATATGAACAGCTGCTGACAAAGACCCTGGACATTTGTCAAATCTTACTCTTGCTGTCTAATCTTCTAACTCGGACCCCTCTTTTACCTTCCAGCTACGCCTTCCACCAAGCAGGATCTTTTCTTGCCCAGGCCCAAACCCTAACATAGTGGTTCTCAACAAGGGGCCATTCTGGCCCCCCGGGGAACTGTCAGCAAATATCTGGACACTGTTGATTGTCACAAATGGGGGGGAGGGAGGAGTCACTGACATCTAGTAAGGAGAGTCCACAGATGTCACTCACATCCTCCTATACCCCGGAGAGCCCACCACAAAGAACTATCTGGGGAGAACATCATCTGTGACCAGGCTGAGAAACCGCCCCACATCACCCTGCAGGCCTTGAGGTCTCAAGCCAACTCTAAAGCTTCCACTGTCGATGGAGCAACTTTAAATAGTTAATCATTTAATCAGTATCTCACCTGCTCTGCACACCCTTTAGTGACTTGGCACATTTTTTAATTATTGGAAAGTTTGAGAAATACAAGTATATCTTTATATACAAATTATATCTACAATTATCTTAGAATGGTAGTATTCTAAGTGATTTTCAATGATTTTTTTGGTCATTTTCATTCTTCTAAGTTTTTAATACTGAATATTATTTTTACAAGAAGGAAGTTGCTAAAAATTAAAAATATACATCACAAGCCCACTTACTATAAATCCTCTGTGGCATATTCTGTACTCATGGTCATTCAGGATGGGAAACCCTGACGGCCCCAAATGACCTACATTGATTCATTCATGTCATCCCTAAAATGGGCAAGCGAGTTGGGAGAAAAGTTAACACTAAATCCCACGAAGCTGCCGGGCTGACCACCTAAGAGCTCCTGCTGCTACAGTTTTCAAGAGTTTATTTAACACATGGAAGAGAATATGAGCTCAGTGTCTGGGAGATTCACTGATCCCAAAGAAATGCAAGTGGCATTTATTAGTGACAAAGCTTACCTGAGCGCCAGAGCTGTAGACCACTTATAACCTCCAGTCCAGTTGCAGTACAGCATTTTGGGAAAAGTACGGTTACCTTAGGAAAAAAAAAAAAAAAAGGAAACACGGGTATAAAGACACGCCTACAAAAAGACATTTATCCATTTATCGCTAGGGCCTTGTTATTTAGAATTCTCTTTATAATGAAAAAAGGTTTACTACTACAGGAAGCAAAAAAAAAGTCCTTATCATTTATAAGCTTAGAATATTTAAATCACCTAAGAATGTGAGATGCCCTATAGGGCCTCCCAAGTCTCAGGGTTGGGTAAAGAGTGCCTAAGGCGGTGCGGTACTGAGAGACAACACAAGCAGTGGGGAAAGAGCCGAGACCACACACATATAACACTTCCCACAAGACATGGGGCACACAGGACTGGCCCAGAGGCAAGTGGCTGTTCACATGGGGAAAACGTGAAACTCAATCTACTGCAGCCCACACACCATCTAGGGAGAAAGATTTCTTTAACAACAAAGCACTAACAATGAACGACCAATAACTCCAACAATTAAAATTTTCAAGTTCTGTTTATCAAAAGGTACCACAGCAAAAATGTAAAAAAATAGCCAAAATCTGGGACAGAATTTTAGGGTGAGTATCTAAAATATAAAACTCAGCTTTCCTAGAAAGCTTTACGAAAAAAGATACAACTTAAGGACAACATACATGGGACAGGATTTGGGTCGTCAAAGAGTTATGCACCCGTGGTGGGAATGTAAACTGAAAAACCACTCTGGACAACAATGCACCCGGGGCACACAGGCTGCACACAGGAGACAGGTGCACGGAGGTGAGCAGCAGCTCCCCCTGAGGAGCATAACGCTGTACATAAGCCAAGCACTTGGGGAAGCGCACACTGTTAAACACTCATACAATGGGTTATTAGACAGGAGTCAAAAACTTTAGAGAAGACACAGGGGTGAAACTCAGAGCCATAACGCTGAGAGGAGAGAAAGGCCCATATGACCATACACAGCCCATTATTTCATGTAACCATGAGACACGCACCCCTGAATATCACTGCCTCATTTGTTACATACATGTGATATTTAAAGAAAAGGAAGTGAGGGGGATTCAGAAGAGTCGTTACCTCCGAAGAGGAGGCAGGGCATGAGCCCCAAAAGAGCACTCTGGCAGTGGCAACATGATGCCAGCACTGCTTTAGTTGTTAACTGGTTGAAAATCCTTTACTGTAGACAGTTGTCCCCCCTTTACCTGCAGGGTATACATTTAATCCAAGACCCCCTGAGCATGCCTGAAGCCATGGCTAGTACCAAATCCTATGTACACGAAGTCATTTCCTGTACACCCGAAACTGGATACACGATTATAAAGAACCAGTAAGATAGAAAAGGCATAGCAATGTACTGTAATCAAAATCATGTGTATGTGTTCTCGCTCTAAATCTCTTACTGTACATAATATTGACCACAGATAACTGAAACTGGTAAGGGGGAAATTGATGTATTATGCTTCATCATCTTACATATTTTTCTTTGTTTTGTCAAGTATTACATTTGAAAAGCTAAGAGATTTGTAAATTTTCTGAATGCTTTTAATTTTTTTAGTTCATTGAGCTTATTAATAACCTTGACAGAACTAAAAAGTGCCGATGAAATGGTTCTGATTAAATAATTCCAATTCTTAAATTTCTGTTTAAAATTTCTCTAAGCGGGCCTCCCCGGTGGCGCAGCGGTTGAGCGCTGGGTTGTGAAGCTGCCCGTAGCCTCTGCAGCACCAGTTCGATCCCCGGCTGCTCCCCAGCCACCGGAGGCGGGTCCCGTATGGCGCGCAGACCTCTCCTGCCGCCCGCTGCTCCCCTCAGCAGTGTACTTCAGTCCTTCTGCCTGTTCTGCTCCCCGCTCTGGCTCTGGTGAATCCTCTCACCCTCCCGCGCTTCTGACTGTACCCAGTGCTTGTATGTATGTATGTATCAATCAATCAATCAATAAATAAATCTTTAAAAAAAAAAAATTTCTCTAAGCAAGCTTAGAGAAAAACATTGTACTCACGAACTGCGTGGAATGGACTCACCCAAGCAATGAACATGGTCTCGCGCCGTGCAGTTGGCGGTGTAGCGCTGCCGCGGGCAAGACACCGTCATGCAGTTGGTGGAATTGGAACACTCATAATCGGTTTCTGGAAGCTGCCAGCAAAATCTGCAAGTCATGTTGATGATGAAGTTCTTTTGGGATTTGAAATCTTGATCCTATGTGCCAGAGGACACAGCACTAGTCAATCATGATATTGCAGTTTGTTACTATGTCAATGAACTACACAGTGATCTGGCACAAAGCTTCTAAAATATTGAATTCTCACTTAGTTAGAAGTGGTGGAAAAAATAGGTACCAAACCCGCATATACAAATGTATGTGGAATGACCCTATAATCATAAAGATATACATATACCCTAAATGACTCTTTAATCATAAAAATATACACCCCCAAATATCTAGCTAAATTCTTATCAAAAAACGTTAGTTCATGGCATTAAGATTATTTCATCACTTTGTTTAAATTTTTAATAATGAACTTGCGTATTTTTATAATACAGGAAAAAGAAATTTATTTTATAAAGTTATAGAATGACAGAGTTGGAAGCGCAGATAATGTGCCATCTGTTCAAGGTCACTGAGTCGCAAGCTATGCAGAGAACACAGGTTCCCCAAGTACATAGAGGTTTGGCATCCCAGCATTTACTGAATCCATCTTTTCACTATACAGAAGTACAGACCCTTCAAAAGCTCATGAATAGTACGAAGATTTGCTACCTTTCCCTCTGCAACAGCTGTCACTACTAAGAGCCTAAGAGCACAGAACCCAGCTAAGCGACCATACCTGCTCAGATCCAGGAGTCTGACATCTTCAAGAAAGCAAAGTAATACTTGTGTCAAGCACGTTTCTAGCCTGCGTCAACTGGCTCGAGTTACTATTATAACCGGAACAGCAGTAATCTGATATGGAAAGGGTTGGGAGGTTTTTCCATGTATTTCTATACTTACATGATCATTATAAAATAACTGCTTTGTGTAGTGCAATCCAACTGCGATTCCCTTAGCCTGTGAGTCCCTAGTCAGTGCGCGTGGACTGCAAGGGCTAATGTCTTCCATTAACTTAAAAGTTCGCAGTTAAGGTTGAGCGCCCAAGGGCACCCACACATATCAAGAGAGGAGTTACACACAGGTGATGATCATAAATAATTCCTTACTGAGATGGTAGCTTATTTACCAAGAAGGGAACCTACAGGTCCTTATTAAACAAATAAGAACGGTGGCTTGTCCTAGGCTGGCTGGCTGGGATGCACATGTCCTGTCAGCCAACTCACCAGGTTTTACTGTTCTCATTTTCAAGAAGAAACAGACCCTCAAATTGCACCCTTCATATTCTACACCTGAGGAATGGGCAATATTACTGGCTATGGGGTCAATATTACTGGCTAGTAATACAGGAAACAGGTGACACAAAAGCACCTGGAGTAGGTGGAGAGAAAGAACCAACCTGGTACATCTTAGCAGGCTAAGGACTGTACCAGGCACCATGACCAGGGAGATTGGGAACTTCCCTAAGTTTTGTAATTCCTCTACCACAATTATTTTTCTTATCCTCTATTTTCCATGAAGTGAATCTGCATGATGTGGGGGCAACAAAAGAAGGAAGAAATTGAGCACTGTGTCTCACTCAGAACCAATTTTGGGAGGTGAACGTCAAAGAAGCTGAGGCAAACCGAGGAATACCGGGAAAGCGCCCCTAAGGCCTTAAGTTCTCCCATTTCACACTAAAGACCTGCTACGCACCAGACCCCTGAAATAGCCTTCAAGTGAGTTAGCCACTAGGCAAGTATGCAGAAAATTCTAGTTAAGACACAGCAACAGACTGACTGATACCCAAAGATAGTCATGAAGACTACCTGGCAATCAGATGCATTTTCCAGTGCACTTTAAAGGGTAACACTGGGATTTGAAAATGGCAGATACTTCAGTTTATGAAAATGACATTCAGGCAGAGTCAGTATAAAATCTTATCTTTTCTTTGGAGTGCAGCCTCCCTCACCCACTCCTAACACAAGGCCTCAAGAGAATTACAGAAAGAGCTGGGGAATGGAAAGAACTACAGAAAGATCTGGGGAATGGAAGGAACATTCTAGCCCTCTGCAGACCAAATGCCAAAAAACGGAAGGGAAAAGGACACCTTGTTTTTCTCCTTGACCATGTCCCAGAACAGGACAGGGTTACACAGAAAGACCTTAGTTGCAATACTTACAACACAGGTAACAGAAGGTTTGACTGTGCAGTCAAACGTGACAGGCTTCCCATAGACACAGGAGAAATTTGTCTTGCAGTCTACACAGTCCGCAGGGAGTCTGCTGCACAAACCGTTGCTAGGGCACTTCATCATGTAAGGTGGAATATCAGTGCTTTCTGTGAAAGACGAACGCACAGCTTATATTCTATTATAACACTGGTCAGAACAAAAGAAAACAATTTTCTTAGGTTAAGGGTAAGCTCATTATAAACAAGATGCTGTGAGGAATGGAAAAAGCACAGAGTTGGAGTCAATCCCGAAATCAAAACTGGGTTTTGCCACCAGCTAGTTATGTGACCTGGAGCAAGAGCTAAGTAAAATATATCTAATTACTGTCTCCTAAATGACCATGCGACTCAAAAGTGCTTGTGTTTACACAAATATACATATATAAGAGAGAGTGTGTGTGTGTATATATAAATTGCTAAGTCGAAGTTGGGGACTCAAAATCTATCACGTTAAGATAAAACTAAGGCTTAAAGCTGGTAGGGTTTGCTCAAGATCAACGGGATCTTGCAAAACTTGGAACCAGAACTCAAGTCTCTCAACTTCCAATCCAATATTCTTTTTATTTGAATGCATTAATTTAGAAATGAAACCACTGACTTTAACTGATTCAGTATGGTACCAATTCTAGAAAATGCCCCCTGTCATAGTTCACATTGGTACTTATAAGCTATAATTTGTTAACCCAATATCTACAGTTTTATACTACCAAAGTTGAAAATAACTCTATTATTAATAACTTGTCCTGCAGAGTGCACTTTTTCCCAGCCAACCTAGCCAGAAATGCAATGTATTTTTATCAGTAAACAAAAGGTCAAAATTGCAAGTATTCTTGGAGAGGAAGAGCAGCTTCCAAAAGTATCCAACAGTCAAAAATTCTTGTGCTTTCTCTATAAAATAATCTATGTTTTAAATTCAAGTATACTATTGTCTTCTTGTAGTATTTCATAGTCACATAAGAATCAGTAAAATATCTCTGCCAGATTCAACTGCTTGAGATAACAGAACTCCAAAGGAAACAGAGACAAAGGTTCAATTTTGTAAAACACACTAAAACTTATCACTTAAATCTGATCCTACGTAGTGTCACTGCATTACGGAGGCAATTCTACAAATGCTGTTTTTCTTATGTTCGTATTACTACTGTAACTGGGAGTGGAAAGCTTCCTGAATCACACAGCATAAATGACTTTAGAGGGCCAGACTAAACTCACCACTTTACGAAAGTGGAAACCCAAGCCCAAGAGGGGGAATAATTTGTTCAAGTTCCCAGTAGCACAATCAGACCTAGACTCCAAGTCTCTATCAGTTCCTCTGTGATGCTTCCATTCCACCAGCCTTGGGAGAGGGAGACTTTAATATCCAACATCACTAACAGGCTTCAAGAAGAAACAGAAGAGATTTTCTGATGGGGAAGAAGCACTGATGGTTATCTTGATGGATGAAGTGGAAAAATAACAGAACTCAGGAGATGGAAATGAGGAGTGTGAAACTGGAAAAAGAGATGAGGCAGAGATATATCCAAACGTATTCAAACATGAAAAGTGTCTACAAGGAAATTCTGTATATGCCGCCCTTGGCTCACGTAATCTAAAAGACAGTAAAAAAATGGAAAAGAAATTGTATGAGAGAGAGAGACAGACTACTAGATATAAATAGACACACTTACTAGAATAGAAAATGTCTAGTACCTGCTGCTCTGGGAATTACTGTGAAAGTACGTGTAGGGCCCGGATCTTTTATTGACTGAGCCAGCGGTTGCGAATGCTCTAAATTTAAGGATCCAACAATTAGAGAAACATGTTATCCTGGGGTCTGAGAGTCTTGGTTTGTAGGGTTAACACGCAGGGTCCACGCAGGTCAGTAACTGCTCGTGAAAACCTCACAGCCTGATTGCCCAGAACACGAAAGAATCAACCACCACCGGAATCGACCCAGTTTAGATCTCTAGGCAACTGGGGTATTAACAAAGCTTGGGATCGGGATCCAGTTCCGCTTCCCCGGCCGCGCCCCGGAGCCCTCGGTCCCCTCTGCTCCAAGCTCCCCAGCTGAGTTCAGGGGCTCTGAGGTCCCTGAGGCGAGGGGCAGCGGCCAAGACGCACCAAACTCCGCTGCTGCGACCCTGCGCCCCCGCCCCGCACGCAGCCTCTGCCCTCCGCCCGCAGGCCCAGACCGGACGCGCCCAGCAGTCCCGGGGAACCCCCTGCCACCCCGCCTATCCCGGCGCAGACGCGGGCTTCAACTCACCACCGCCCGACAAGAAGCAGAACTGCGAGAGGAACAGCAACAAGCGGCAGACACGGCAGAGGACATGCAGCGGGCCCGCCGCAGGCGCCATCTTGCCGGCCCACGCGCACTTCCGGGCCGCGGGGCGGAGCTAAGCCAAGGGGCGGGGCGCCGACATGCGCGCACCGAAGGGGGCGGGACGAGGCGTGTTCCCGGAAGCAAAGGCGCAGGCGCGCGCCCGGCTCCGCTGGGATCTGCGATTCTCGGCCGGTAGCTCCCCGGGAGAGCAGGGCGATCCTCGGGCTGCTGCCACCTGCGACCCGGTGAGCTTGCTCGGTCTGCAAGTGGCCCGCGCGTCCTGGGCCGCCTGGGACCGGAGTTCACCCCTAAAGTTGTACAAGAATCGCTGGGGCAGGCGGTGTGCGGAGGAACACGCGCCAGGGAAACCGCGGCGCGCGCTATCGGCCCCGCCCCCTCTCTGCGCGCGGCACTACAACTCCCAGCATGCCCTGAACGCCACTTCCGGGGGGGATGAGCGGGGGCTGCTGGGAACCGGGAAGGAGCTGAGCGGCGGTGGTGGACTGAGACGAGGACGTTAGTAAAGCGGACACTGGTGTTGTAACAGGGTGGTCCCCAGGAAAGGGGGAGGTTCCCTGCCCCACCCAAGAGAGGGTGGAGCTGAGCAGGAAGAGGAGAAGCTACACAAGAGACTGAGGAAGGAAGAAGCAGGATGGAGCCAGGAGACCTGGAGGAGGGGCGTGGAGCCTAGAGACATGTGAAGAAACTGAGCTTGTCTTTTGGTCGTGGACTGAGTGACACAGATGTGGGTGAGACCCGTGGGGAGGTGACAATGGCAGCTTTTATCTTGATGTTGATTTTGCTCTTTTCCTTCTGGGCTTGTCTGGTAGTTTCTGATCCTTTTCTGTGGGTCCCCACTGGAAGATGCTTTAGACTTGTGGCAGGCTTTGGGGCCTTGCTCTGGGCCAATCCCATATGGATGGACTTTTACCCACGAGGGGACGGGTAACTTTGGGTGCTTCATTTAGAAACTAGACTCTTGGCCTTACCTGTATTGTTTCCTAGTTTTATTAAAGTTCCTTCCCACCTGGGCTTCCTCTTCTTGAGGGTACCAGGGCATTTTCGTTGGCCGGGTTGTCCAGTCCTGCCAATGGAGGCAAGCTTCCTCACCTTCTTTGGAGGTCTCTGGAACCCTACAAACAAGGCAAACAGGTTCTCCTCTTCTTGGTTCAGCTCTTTTTCAACTTTTTGGAAGAACTCCACACAAAGCCACACAATCAAACTCACGTCCAATTTTTTGTTAAAACAGACAAAATCCCTATGGAAGTTATGCAAAAACAGACTCTAAGATAAGTAGCAAAAATTACTACCACTATTTGTATGCCATGTTGGTATCAAGGGGAGAGAAAATGTGACAAGTTAGCTTTGCTGGAAAAAAATTGCAACCTTGCTGTAGATCCTGGTTACACAAAACAAAACAAAACAAAAACTTTGTGGATTCAGGACAGAATGCATAAAAAAATTACCAGTATTATGTCAAAGAAACCTTAGTAAATGTCAGGTGTATTTCCAGGTTTATTCAGTCCTTTGTAGGAAAGTTTTTTTTTCTCAACAGTTCCCTCAATAGGAATCTGTTGAGACCTTTTCTCCCTATATTTTCGGAAACAATTTCTGTAGATGTGAAACAATTGAATTATACAATATTACAAGGTGACAATTTACATACATACCAGATACTGAGAGGTTTTTTTGTATACACATTTTAGAAAACTACTGTTAACATTTTGTACATACCAAAGTTTTACCATTTTCCCAAGTGACAATGCTTCCCTTCCAGTTTTACTCCATTAGGTAAAAGCCAAATAGAACAAATTCATCTAATGCCTTCCCAGGAGGAAAGGGAGAAACTTCGTGGAGTGTCTCAGGAGCTCTACTGAGGTTCCACAAAATTTCCTTGCATCAGTCAAATGACAGGCTACCAAATTTGTACTTGAATTTAGATTTCTGGGAAGCTTTGCCATAAATATCAGAAAATTAGCAGAAACGACAATATTAAATCTCTATGAAGGCACCGGCTTAGTTCAGTAGCACAATGTTGACAATCAAACCATAACCTTTAGTTTTTCTCATAACTGGAGACTTTTTTTTTTTTTTCAACGTCTATGGGCACCACGTATACCAATTTTTCAACCTCTCTAGGCCAAGACAGACACAAGGACATACAACATATAGACAAAGACAGTTTTTTTTAGTTATGCCACGTAGAATATGTTATGTAACTGCAGTTTTACTCCATAGGCTCGGAAAAAAAATGTCAAAGTCCAAAAAAAAATGTGGAGTGTTGCTGGCAGAAAAATTTCCAGTTGTCATCCCACAAACCTAAGACTTTGGAAATAGGAAGGAAAAGTTTTATTAATCACAAGAGTTACATGACCTTGTTTATCACCTTAGGGTTTTCAGTGTTGAAGATTTTTTATTAGAAGTCAATCCTGGGGTATTGTGTACAGCAACTGAAAGAATAAAAGTTAACTTTTAAGCAAAAGGAGTCATCTCTTGTTAGCCACCAAGCAGGCACTCCTTGGGTTTTCTGGAATAGAACCTGAAAAAGCAAAATCAAAATATCAGTAATTAACTTTCAATTAAAAGGAGTCATCTCCTGGGGGGCGGAGCAACATGGCGGCGAGGAGACGCTGCCAGTAAGATCTCCCATTAAAAAAAGTGAATAGGGAGGAAAAGCGGCAGGTCCCAGTGAGAACTGGGACACGGAAGATAAACGGGTGACGCCAGCAAACTACCCGAAGAAGAAAGTGGCCATAAAAGAGGACTAGAGGGGAGGGAAGCGCAGAACCCTGCTCCCCTCCCCCGCCCACAGAGGCGGCACTCTCCGACCGGCAGAGAGGAGGGAAACAGCAAACCAAAACGGCCCACAAGAACAAACGACACAGCAAGTGGGACTGTGAGTGGAAAGGAACTATTGCAGCCACCACACCCCGTGAACGGGAGCTGAGGCGAACCCTGCAGGATCCGCCGCGGCGGTGCGCGAACGGCTCCGGGCGCCATTAGAGAAGAACAAAGACCCCGGGAGACGCGCACACAGCCCGGGCTGCCGGTAAGCTGGCGCGGGAAAGCAGCGCACTCAGTGCACTTGAAAAGCAAGTGCAGACCTGGATCGCGGCTGCCCAGGTCCCTGCGCCTGCGACCTAGGATTGCGGGGAGACGACCTAGGCTTGCGGGGAGACGCGCGGAGGTCCTCACTGAGGTGAAGGTCCCTCCCTGAGTGAGCAGGAACCAGGCGCCCAGGCACGGGAGCGGGGCAAAAGGCGCCATTCCCGCGCCACTGAACTGGGCTACAGCCCGCGTCCTGGAACTGAGGGCTTTGAACTGAGACCCGGGGCACGAAAATTCGGGGCGTGGGTTCTCCACGACGGTGGGGCACAAGGCAGACACAGCACCCCAAAGCTGTTGAGGTGTACCCTACCATTCCCGCTCTGTTCTCTGTCCCACGGGGTGGGGGGAGGCGAAAAACAGCCCCCCAAGGACAATAGGAGAGATCTCTGGCGCCACCTAGCGACCAGGAAAAAAAAGTCACTAACACCCTATAAAACAGGACATTTCTTAAGACTGCTTGAAAAGGGCAGAAGGTTTCTGGAGGACCCAGTGGCCAGCCGGGAAGTTATTCCACGCCAGGCCCCTTCCGACCAGCAGTCTGAGCCCACAGAGGGAGCAGGCACCCACGTCCGGGGCAGACCGGGTGCGCAGAAGAGTGTGCCTGAAACCGGAGGCACAGGGACTGCATCCCGCTTCGCCATTTGAGAACAGGGACATTTCTTCAGTAAAAACTGCCTAAAACCAGCAGAAAGCTCCCCCAGAAGACAGAGATGGCTCCTGGAAGAGCCAGAGGGGAGCGGAGAAGTTCACCCAAGATGTCAGTCAGTCCGAGCAACACAGTGTCCCAACGCATACGACAAATTAGAAAACAGACAGTAGGGAGTAGAAGAACCACACGCAGCCTAACAACTCCTCAGGAAAGAAGCACACCACAAAAAGAAAACCACTCCCCAGATTGCAACGACAGCAACTTGGAAGAACTTCTGAGCCTTCCAGAAAGAGAATTTAAAATTGCCATGATTAAAAAAGTGATAGATCAGAAGAAGGAAATTGAGTCCCTAAAGAGGGAAGTAAGAGAAATGCAGGAGATCAAAGAATTAATGGAGGAACTAAAGAACTCTGGGAAAAGCAATGAAAGCAGAATAGATGAAATGGAAGAACGAATAAGTAATCTTGAAGACACAGAAATAAAAAGAACCAAAACAGAAAAGGAAAGAGAAGTACGAAGGAAAAAGAATGAAGAAAGACTTCGGGAACTATCTGACTCCATGAGGAAAGGAAATATAAGAGTTATAGGAATTCCAGAAGGAGAGGAGAGAGATGTAGGAACAGAGAAAATATTCATGGATATAATTGAAGAGAACTTCCCAAATGAGAAGAAGGAGCTGAAAATTGATATACAAGAAGCAAGAAGAACACCAAACTTCCACGACGAAAGGAAAAACACAGCAAGACACATAATAGTAAAGCTCCCAAGAATCCAGGACAAGGAAAAAATAATGAAGCTGACAAGAGGGAAGAAACAGATAACATTCAAAGGAAAACCAATCAGGCTGACATCAGACTTCTCTGAAGAAACACTACGGGCAAGGAGAGAGTGGAGGGACATAGTCAACAGACTCCAAGAAAACAGATGCCAACCAAGAATACTCTATCCCGCAAAGCTCTCTTTCCTCCATGAAGAAAGAATATGGACCTTCCCAGACAAAGAGAAACTCCGGAATTTCATTGCGACTAAACCCCCACTCCAAAAAATACTACAAGGAATCCTAAAGCCAGAACCTCAGAGGGACGAATAACAACGAAAGAAGACCAAAAAAAAAAAAAAAGTTATTAAAAGAATAAATAAATAAAATCAAAGGAAAGACAAACATAATGGCAAATACAGATGCTAACATATCAATATTAACTCTAAATGTAAATGGACTAAACTCTTCAATAAAAAGACACAGAGTTGCAGCCTGGATTAAGAAACAAAACCCAACCTTTTGCTGTCTCCAGGAAACA